TAAAAAAGTATCAAAATCAGAGTTAAAATAACCGTTATATCGTGATTTTTTGTTTATCACTGTCGAAAAGTTTTGTCCTATTACTTAATCTTTAAATGTTTGTTTTTTGTAATTTTTGGAGTATGCGATCTCGAAGCACATACAAACAAGTTTGACGGTTGGATCGTTGAAACTAGTTTCGTAGAATGTGTATCCCATCAAAACAATAGATTCAGTAACACTTAAGAGTTTATTCATACTTTCATCAAGTATAACATAAGATTAGTGTAAATATTTTAAATTGAAGATTCAATTCATTCATTGTATGCATATAGGGTCAAGGAGTGTAGCTGTAAAAAATCATCAAAATCGGAGTTAAAATAACCGTTAAATCGTGATTTTTCGTTTATAACCGTCGAAAAGTTTTGTCACGTTACTTGATCTTTGAATGTTTGTTTTTTGCAATTTTTGGTGTCTGCGATCTCGAAGCATATACAAACAAGTTTGACGGTTAGATCATTGAAACTAGTTTCGCAAAATGCGTATCTCATCAAAACAATAGATTCACTAACACTTAAGAGTTTATTCATATGTTCATTAAGTATTACATAAGATTTTGTGGTATCCACTAGTGTAAATATTTTAAATTGAAGATCGAATTCATTCATTATATTCATATAGGGTCAAAGAGTGTAGCTGTAAAAAATCATCAAAATCAAAGTTAAAATAACTGTTAAATTGTGATTTTTCGTTTATAACCGTCGAGAAGTTTTGTCTCGTTACTTGATTGTTGAATGTTTGTTTTTTGTAATTTTTGGCGTACGCGATCTCAAAGTATATACAAACATGTTTGACGGTTGGATCGTTGAAACTAGTTTCGTAGAATGCGTATCCCATCAAAACAATAGATTCACTAGCACTTAAGAGTTTATCCATATTTTCATCAAGTATAACATAAGATTTTGTGGTATCCACTAGTGTAAATATTTTAAATTGAAGATCGAATTTATTCATTGTATTCATATAGGGTCAAGGAGTGTAGCTGTAAAAAATCATCAAAATCGGAGTTAAAATAACTGTTAAATCGTGATTTTTTGTTTATAACCGTCGAAAAGTTTTGTCCCGTTATTTGATCTCTGAATGTTTATTTTTTGCAATTTTTGACGTATGCGATCTTGAAGCATATACAAACAAGTTTGACGGTTGGATCATTGAAACTAGTTTTGTAGAATGCGTATCTCATCAAAACAATAGATTCACTAACACTTAAGAGTTTATTCATATTTTCATTAAGTATAACATAAGATTTTGTGGTATCCACTAATGTAAATATTTTAAATTGAATATCGAATTCATTCATTGTATTCATATAGGGTCAAGGAGTGTAGCTATAAAAAAGTATCAAAATCAGAGTTAAAATAACCGTTAAATCGTGATTTTTCGTTTATAACCGTCGAAAAGTTTTGTCTCGTTACTTAATCTTTAAATGTTTATTTTTTGCAATTTTTGGAGTATGCGATCTCGAAGCATATACAAGCAAGTTTGACGGTTAGATCGTTTAAACTAGTTTCGTAGAATGCGTATCCCATCAAAACAATAGATTCACTAACACTTAAGAATTTATTCATATTTTCATTAAGTATAACATAAGATTTTGTGGTATCCACTAGAGTAAATATTTTAAATTGAAGATCGAATTCATTCATTGTATTCATATAGGGTCAAGGAGTGTAGCTATAAAAAAAATATCAAAATCAGAGTTAAAATAACCGTTATATCGTGATTTTTCGTTTATAACCGTCGAAAAGTTTTATCTCGTTACTTGATCTCTGAATGTTTGTTTTTTGCAAATTTTGGCGTATGCGATCTCGAAGTATATACAAGCATGTTTGACGGTTGGATCGTTGAAACTAGTTTCGTAGAATGTGTATCCCATCAAAACAATAGATTCACTAACATTTAAGAGTTTATTCATACTTTCATCAAGTATAACATAAGATTTTGTGGTATCCACTAGTGTAAATATTTTAAATTGAAGATCAAATTCATTCATTGTATTCATATAGGGTTAAGGAGTGTAGCTGTAAAAAGTCATCAAAATCGGAGTTAAAATAACCGTTAAATCGTGATTTTTCGTTTATAACCGTCGAAAAGTTTTGTCCCGTTACTTGATCTGTAAATGTTTATTTTTTGTAATTTTTTGCTGATGCGATCTCGAAGCATATACAAACAAGTTTGGTGGTTGAATCGTTGAAATTAGTTTCGTATAATTTGTATCCCATGAAGTTCAATGGTGTATGTGTGTGTGCATATATATTTATTTATTTATGAAGTAGATTTAAATCTTTTTATTTTGTATGTATAATTATTATAGTTTTTAGGGGTATAAACTTTAATTTAAAATTTAATATATATATATATATATAAATATAATTATTATAGTTAATATTTTGGGGGTATAATTATTATAGTATATATAATTATTAGAATTATTATAGTTAATTTAATATATATATATATATATAATTATTATAGTTTTTAGGGGTATAAAATTGTTAAATTAATATATATAATTATTATAGTATTTTTTTAGGGTTATAAAATTATTAAATTAATATTCTGCTTATCGTGTATCGTGTTACCCACGTATATACCCGAACCAACCCGTTATCTTAACAGGTGCTTATCAGGTTACCCGATAACGACCAGTTTCGTTATCGTGTTGACCCGAACACCTGTTAATTTCGTGTCGTGTCGTGTCAGGTTATTGGGTCGTGTCAGGAATTGCCAGGCCTAGTCCTAAGCGAGCTTTCGAAGTGGGGCCCTAAAATTCTCTGATTTCCAGTTTTTTGTATATTGATTTGTATAAAAAAGAATTCACTAAATACATAAAAAGTTCTATTTTCACATCAAATATCATTAAAAATTAATAACAAAAGAAGATAAATATACAAACATTATTTAAACATTACACTATTCAAGTTTTTATACACAAATGTACTAAATGTTTGCAGTCAAGAGTTTAAGATTGAGAGTGAAGAACAATAAAACTTGTTGATCAAGAGAGTAAATAACAATAAAACTTGATTGACGAGTATAATAAATTTAACGCCAATTGTTTCTCTTGTATTTTTTTTTTCTTCTAAAATCAACATCACACTAACGAATTGAATATTAAAATAATCCATTGAATAAAAAGTTATTGAAAAGAAAAATATAAAATTCAAAGTTTTGATTACCTTAAAGTACAATCTTTAAGACCATATGATAGTTAGTTTAAACACTCAATAGAAATGGAGAGAATGAGAAGTTAGTTTAAACATTCGATAGAAATAGAGAGAATGAGAAGTTGAAAGAAAAAAGATTGCAAAGAGACCTTGAGTTTTATAATTTTATATGCATTTGGATAGATGGATTGAGAGTTGGACAGGTAGATTGGCAGTAAATTTGAAAAACAAGAAAAATTAAGAAAATTCTAGTAACTGAAAGGCAGCTTCGTGTTTCGAACTCAACATCCCAAAGAAAAATGAAGCCAATATTTACACTGCACTAACAAATGAATTATTATATTTCTTACTTTTTTTTATATTTATATGTTAATTACAGGATATAAATTTTTTTTGGAGGCCCTTCCGAAGTGGGGGCCCTAGGCGGGCGCCTACTTGGGCTACCCTCAGGCCAGCCCTGAGCTCTCTCAGAGATGCTACATTATAGATATGATACATTATCTTTTTTTTTAGATGCTCTAATGGTATGGTTGTAACCAAAATTTTATAGAAATGATAAAGGGACTCTCTCAAGAATAAGACTTTCAATGGGCTCTCTATACTTCATGTTTTTTACACAATATTTTATAACGTTCGCATAACAATTGATGTTAAACTGTAAAATGTTAGAGAGTCGATAAAAAATTCCACTTTGAAGAGAATTCCAATAGCATTTGTCTACTCTTATTAGGACAACTAACAACCCCCGCATGTATACTTGTCTATTATGTCGTCTATTATGTCGTGTTGTTGAGCAGCCTCCAACTTTTGGATTGGACTAACCAACAACCACCCCTATCTGCCTGTTCAGTGCTGATTCATAAAAATCCCAACCCAATAGAGAAAAAGAATAAAAGCGAAGAGGAAGGCTGCCAACTTATAATATGCCATTAATTAAAATTGACCTATTTCTTGATTTGCCTCAGAACTTTTATGCAACTGTTAATTTTTTTTTTGAAATTTAATTTTAGCTGATTATTATTTTAAACTGTTATAAATAGCCAATTTTTTCCTCTATTTTGGTCACGCAAACAACACATGACAATTGTATAAAGGCAAAAAGGTAATTTTATTTAGGTAAATTGGATGCAAAGCTAATACTTTGCAGCTACTAATTCGAATAGGGAGTGAACAGCGTCGAGGAAGTTGAGAAGGAAAAAACAAAAAGCAATTTGATTGAACGGCGTCGAGGAGGTGGAGAAGGAAAAAACAAAAAGCAATTTGATGTATACATTAGGAATAAAATTACTTTATTGCCTTCAAACATTTGTTGTGACCAAAATAGAAGAAAAAATCCAAAATCTAACATTAAGGGAAAATTTGGCTAATTATAACAATTCATGTGAAATCCCGTTCCCGGATTTCACTGTTAGAATCTACGTATTTGTACTATTGAGATTTTGTGTTATTCCTCGAGAATTTATTTTAAATTGTTTGAATTTAGATTTTAATTAAAGGTCACAAGTAACGTTTTCGAATAGATATCGAGATCACGAATGCATAGGCGAAAACCATTTGCGAGTCTGGATTATAACGATATAGTTACGAACATTTGAAGTTGTGAACTATAGATTGTGGGAATCATAGATTAAAGGTTAAGTTAAGTTAGTAGAAAAATAAATAAATAAATAAAAAAGGGGGGAACCTGTCAGATTTTTAAAGGGTATGAAAGGACCCATATTTGGAGAAAAGGAAGGGCCACTTTTCTCCCCCCCCCCCTCTTTATTTCGTGAAACCGTGAGCTCCACCAACCAATTTCAAACCGGCCAATTTCAGGCCAATTCCTTTTCTCATATGATTTTTCCAATCTCCTTCACCTGCAACTTGCTCAACTACCTTCCTCATTTCCTCTTTACCAAAAATCAAGGGTTTTTAAGGTCTAATTCGGGTCGAACTCCATAGGAGAACCCAGGGGGTTCTCGACAACGAATTGTCGTTCCGGAGAGTATAACCACTTACCACCACCCTTAATCAACTTCCCTTGGACCCAGGAACAAGACCCAACTGGTGGTTGAAGCGTTGGAACACCAAGAAAGCCGAATTGAAGAACACCCACCTTAGGGTTTCAACGGGTGCGAGCCAATTTGAGGGCCTTCCTGGCCAAATTGGATTTAGCCACAGGTATAAAGTTTACTCTACTTGTTGAAACCTTCATTCTTGTAAAATTTGAGAATTTTTGGAAAAAGTCGAATTTTCCGATGTGTGACATTAGATTTATGAAATACTTCTTTCGTTACCAAGCATCTAGACCTAGAAGGGAATTATAGTTGAAATGACATCCTTGTTAATCTTGTGCTTATTTGTGTGTGTTTGGTTGGGGTTTAAGAGTTTAGATTGTTTACTAGTAGTTATATTCAAGTTATTAGTAAACGATCCAGTTTCTCTTAATATATATATATATATATATATATATATATATATATATTGCCGCATATACATGTCAAAAGGGGTAGTGGCATGAGTGAAGAGGTGGTGTTTTAAGTTGAAAAACCATTAATTTTGGGTTGGTTTATTAAAGGATGGAGAATGAAGGTTACAAGCATAGGAATAGAACGTTAAAATGTTGATTTCATGGATGAGAAATAATATGTATGGTTACTAGTATAAAAAGGGTGAGTGACTTTAATATATGTGATATAGGTGATTACTCTATTTTCATAATTATTATCCTGAGAGGGTATGAGGTGGTTTTATGATTATGTTTCCTATAAAGTGCCATTGTTATAGTTTTATGATGTGGGATTTGACGTGCATATTAGAAACATGGTTTGCTTTGTATGGTTGGCTTGATGTGATGAAATGTGAGGACTAGTGGTGGACTGTGAACCCATTGTGATTGGGGATTTGTTGCTTAGATATTGTTTCTTTTCCCGCTTCGTTGATTCGTTCTAAATTTAGCATATGTGCCTTATTTCCCTTGGTTAAGCTTTTGTAAATTTAGTAGCTTGTGCTTGTCTCATTTCTTTGAGCCGTTGTACATTATGGTTGTTGGCCTTCCGCGATTCCGTTGAGTGATGTTCCGGAATCGTATCCACTTGGATTCCATTGAGAGAAGGTCCGGAATCCCTTATACTCCGCGATTCCGTTTAGTGAAGTTCCGGAATCGTATCTAACTTGGGTTTCATTTAATGGTGGTTATGCATTGTATTCTGCGATTCCGTTGAGTGATGTTCCGGAATCGTAACCACTTGGATTCCGTGAGAGATGGTTCAGAATCCCTTCTACTCCGCGATTCCGTTGAGTGAAGTTCCAGAATCGTATCTAACTTGGGTTTCATTTAATGGTGGTTATGCATTGTATTCTGCGATTTCGTTGAGTGATGTTCTGGAATCGTAACCACTTGGATTCCGTGAGAGATGGTTCGAAATCCCTTCTACTCCGCGATTCCGTTGAGTGAAGTTCCGGAATAATATTCACCTTGGGTTTCATTGAGTTTGGATTGAGATAGATTCAAAGGTATAGGCTTCAGCCGAACTATGTCGCTCTAACCCTACTTTTCCTGGTGTTATATGAGAATATGGTTGTGAGATGTTGTGATTGTTTCAAACGAACCGTTGGATGTCTGAGTGACTCCTTCGGAGTTTGCGAAGGTTTGGTATTAATTTCTTATGAATGATTCATATTCAAAGTTTATAAACTGTGATTGATGGTTGGTTTTTATCACTATTATCACACTTTGTATTATTGTTGCTCACTTGAGCTTCACAACTTATCCAAGTTCTGAATTGCCCAGTGCACCATTTCCATGATGTAGACACTGATTTTGCATATGACAGGTCTAAGTAGATTATAAGAAACCGCTTGATATTTTGGTTTCGTTGAGTGGTCCGAAATCCTTACTCTTGCACATTCCAAAAGGTTAGTCTAGAACCCTAGATTCGAGCGAATGAGAATTATCCATAGACCTTGTGAATATAAATTAGAATTACCATGTTATTACTCATAACCCAAGTAGGGAATTATATAGAGTTCTCTAATTGAATTGGTGAAATCGTATGTTATCTCATTGATTGATTAACGTAGTTAAATGCTAAGATCATGCATCCTTGATTCATGAAGGGATTAATTGACGGGAATTATGGAATGACATTGGATATGATTGCTATTATTATGATTATTTAGTGATCAATGTGGCTTAAGAATAATATTGTGCTTCGTTGGTTATTGGATAAGTTACATGATGTGGATGGAGATATCACGTTGAAAACATAGTGATTTATATGATGGATGGAATGAAAACCTTGAATGTCATGTGGATTTGTTATGTAACCATGAATCTAGTAATTCATGCTTGTTAAGTTCTAATAATTGATTGAGGAATGCTATGCTTTTTGATTTGAACGTATTGTGATAAACGTCGAGGTGTAATGAATGGCGAACTATGAATGGCTTGATCCCTAATGAGGGTACGTAGGCAGTCTAACGAGGAGGTTAGATGCAACCATAAAGCATACGAAAAATTATATGTAATTCGAGGCATGGCATGTGCTAGATACATATCCCAAGGGACGGGTATGTTAGATATGTGGTTATTTGATGACGTCACGTGTCGATCCCGGACATATGTCGGGATCGGGGCGTGACAATTCAGGCGAGTAATTGACTAAAATTAAAGTTTATATAAAAATTTAGCAATTTTTTACTAGTTCAAAAGGAAGGAGATCGACAAATATCTCATTAAAATTACCAACAAAACTTATTCCTCCTAAGCTTTACAAAAAGTTTAGAGATTAAGATCGACAATTTTTCTTCGCGTCTCCATCTACGTTCGTCACTTTGACAAAATATGCAATCTGACCTTCATATTTCTATTTTTTTTTTCCTTTAAAATCCAGCAGATTGTCTAAGTCAAGCCAGTTCTAGACAAGAAACGAGCCCTGAAATAGGTGAAGGTGGGTTCCTTCACGTAATTTAACAACCACAGAAAAGCTAAAAGCAGCTTTAGCACCACACAAAAGCTAAAAGCAGCTGCTCACTCAGCCTGGTTTCTGCCATTTTCTTCTGCATAAACTTATTATTATCACAGAGTGAGGAGCGTTGGTGGTAAGTTTTTACCAAAAAACCACATTAGCAAGTATGATTTTTTATGATTTCCTTTCTTGTGGTTTTGGTTAAACGGTTAAACAATGGAGTGCAACTTTTTATTTGCAACTTATTTATTGATTGTGTGCATTTACAGTAAAAATTAGTATAATCAAATTAGCTAGAACACTGTGTCTCTTGTTTGGGTTATAATTTCAACCTTGGGCTCAGAAGGAAGTTGGCCCAACTAAGAGGAGGAAAGCCCGAAGTCCAGCCCAAGTCCCGAAGGCAGAAGAGGCTTTACTGACTAGGTGCAGGTCATTTGCACCATTTGCTCACCTACCCAATGGCCAAGTAGTATAGACTGACCAGCTATACAGCCCATAAAGTACTTTACAGTGACAATACAAGTAAAAAGCTGATGAGTCACTACCATTCAAACTGCAGTCGGGCAAGATTGCTGCTACAAGAAGACAAGCCAAGTTGTCTATAAAAGAAAGAAGAAAAGTCAGGAATGAGGACACTCAAACAAACAAATACAAGCACAAACTCTGCTCAAAAGCCAGATTTGCCTTCAAACAAAGCTGTAGTCAGCAAGCCTTCATCCCTTTCGGGATAAACCATTTGTAATAGCTCTGCTACCCTGTTCAACTCTTGATGTAGTATCGATCTCTTTCTGTAAACTCATCTCCCAACCCTGTTTCTAAGCTTTCAAACCCCTTGAAACCACAAAGATAGGAAGTTGCAAGACGATCAGCCTTGCCCGACAAGGTTAAACCTTGCCCGACCCCTTTGTTTTTGTCTTTTCATTCACTAACCTAGCAATATGTTGTATACTACAAGTTGTATTCAAGTTATTTGTAGTAATATGGCTATTAAAAGATCCTTTCAGCGCTTGAATCCGATTTGAATATGTTTTCATAGTTCAAGCCAGATCTAAGTTCTAAGCCCTTGGGCATGTAAGATTTGATCATCTAAAAGTCCTTGGCCTCAATGCATAAAAAAGAACCTTATGTGGACTTAACACATCCATGACAAGCTTTGATAAATAAGAAGTCTGAAGTTACTTGGGGCGCAAGTAATCGATCTATCACCTAGTTTTATTTCTATTATATTATGATTACTATAGAACGTTGAGTATAGAATGAATTCTGATGGGAAGCCTCAAGGCCTATTCAAGGCCCTACAAAGGCACCTATTTGGATTCATTCTGCTCCTCGGGCTAGAACGTTGAGTATAGAATGAATTCTGATGGGAAGCCTCAAGGCCTATTCAAGGCCCTACAAAGGCACCTATTTGGATTCATTCTGCTCCTCGGGCTAGAACGTTGAGTATAGAAAGAGTTCTGATGGGAAGCCTCAAGGCCTATTCAAGGTCCTACAAAGGCACCTATTTGGATTCATTCTGCTCCTCGGGCTAGAATGTTGAGTCATTCTGCTCATCGGGCTAGAATGTTGAGTATAGAATGAGTTCTGATGGGAAGCCTCAAGGCCTATTCAAGGCCCTACAAAGGCACCTATTTGGATTCATTCTGCTCCTCAGGCTAGAACATTGAGTATAGAAAGAGTTCTGATGGGAAGCCTCAAGGCCTATTCAAGGCCCTACAAATGCACCTATTTGGATTCATTCTGCTCCTCGGGCTCAAGTAATCAGGAAGTATAATGGGTATAAGACTCATATAAACCAAGGAAACGAACCATATGTATATATTCAAATACTAAGTTAGTTATGAACGGGAAGCCTCAAGGCCAAGGCCCCACAAAGGCACCCGTCATGACTAAAATAGTCTCTTGGATATATATACAATTGAAATTCAACATTCGTTCTACATCTGCCATGCTGAAGATGGCAGTGGCACGCCTAAGCACTGAAAGGTTAATCTTGATTGTGAGCCTCAAGGCCTACACCTAAGGCCCCGCAAAGGCACCCTTTCAAAGTTAACTCTGTCCTTCTCTTTTAGCCTTGCCCGAAGAGCTTTGCCCGACAAGCTTTGCCCGACAAACCTTGCCCAACTAAGCTTTGCCCGACAAACCCGCCAGTAAAGCAGAAGCCTGACAGGAAGCATCAACCGGTGCCGACCTCTCGGGGAGCTGTGTGCTCGTCGGCCAGGGAACATCCCCAATGGAAATTCCTGCCACAAACATCTCTCTTATATATTAAAATCCGCATCTTATAGTTTTGATATTGTAATATCGTTTTCGATATAAAAGTAAAGTGTGTGTGTATTTGTTTTCTTTATACTTGATTGTCCATTTTTTTGGTTGTTGTTTGATTTAAATAACCTTTCATCAATTGAGGGGAAGTAGCAAATTAAAAAACTCGAGAAAACTTGCTATAAGTCTAATTATTCAAACTATTATTAAGAATAGTTTACTTGTGGAAATAAATTCAGTGATTAGGAATTAAATCTCTTCCTGACCTACTTCTCACAGCTCATTTTATCTTCATAATTTCTTTTTGGGTGCATTTTTGCTCACAAATCATCATTATCAAGTAATAATAATACTCACAACTTTATTTACCATCGTTTGATGAATTTAAATTTTGAAGTCTGTATCTATTTACTACACATATTTAAAATTTAAACTAATTTTACGATGATAAATAGAGTAGTGTGAATCACCATTACTTGAGAATAATTTGCTTTTCTTTTTTTCTTTTTTTTCGTTCTTCTTTCTCATTTTTGTATGGCATCTGCTACTGCTTTGTTCTTAAATGTAGAAATGAAATCCCCTTATTGTTGAATCTCGTTTGGTCAAGTCTGATTAAAGCACTCCAACCAACCCAATAAATATGAGACAGGTGGCACCAAAGCACCATGGAAGCATTCTCCTCTTTTATTTCTTGTTTTCTTTTTAATCAACTCATTTTATTGTAACTTTGTGTTTTTGTTCCTCACGTTTCAAACTTCAAACATCTTCGATCTTTCTTTTCTCTCACATATCATCATCTCCTTTCTCAAAATGTATTATAATGTTTTTATGCCTACGAAAAGAGGTGTATATTTAGTTTCAAATATATGGTCATTTGATTATTTGCCACGTAAATCGATTTTTTATTTTAATATTTAGGAAATGTATTCTCTAATTAAAGAATTTAAATATTTTTATCTAAAAGGGTAAAATTAGTATAAAAACATGTAATTAGATTACTGAACTCACTCACGAAAACCACTTATTTTTGGACCTAAATCTAAAAGCACTTTAAAACTTATTATACAATGATGTCCTCTAGTGTAATGTTATTTTTCTATTTGCTTCTTTACTGCAGGTGAGCAAAGTTTCATACTTTCCATCTTCTCAAACATGTTTAAGAGGATCACATTCATCTTGTTGGTTGGATTGCTGGCGTGGGCGTATCAGGCCGCCCGACCACCACCTCCGAACATCTGTGGTTCGCCTGGCGGTCCACTCGTCACAGCGTCTAGAATAAGGCTAAGGGATGGAAGATTTTTGGCCTACAAGGAACATGGTGTTCCAAAACAAGTGACCAAGTACAAGATTATCTTTGTTCATCCCTTCTTTAGTTCCCGACATGATCCAATCATTGCAACAGCCGTCTCTCCGGTACTGCCTTGCTTGATTCTTTGTCATTTTTCAGTTCAACTCTTTATTGGTTGATTTCGTGGTGGGTGTTTTTTTTCTTTCCTCAGGAAGTTATTGAAGATTTAGGTGTGTACATTGTGTCTTTCGACAGACCAGGGCACGGTGAAAGTGATCCGGATCCTAAGCGAACAACGAAAAGCTTGGCGTTAGATATAGATGTTGTCCTGTTCATGAGCTTACTGAGTTTATTGGCATAGCCAGCATTTAGAATGTGATCTACCAAACTATTAAGCATCTATGCATCTGTTTTCCTTAGAGATAACATTTAATTTGCTCAACTTTTGGTCTCCTTATGTGGATTTTGAATTTTTCAACCAGGAGGAAGGGGCAGAGGCAGAGGAGGTTACCAAACTGACGCCACAAGGGGGCGTTTTGGTGGCCGGAGTTCAAGCAGAGGTAGTTACGGATGGAGATTACAACAGACTGAGAGGCAATGGTTTTCATCAGCGTGGCAAGGCTACACCACCAGCCAATACTTAGTAGTCTGATGCATGCATCAAGCCTAGAAGACTACTTGTTGTAGTTTTTTCTTTTATGTTTTTTTTTTTGGTCAATTAGTTTTTTCTTTTATGTTTGAACATCTTGTATGTACATTTTCATATATTTTATAATTAAATACTTTTTTTTGGTTTCTTAATTATTGTTTATAATTTAATTACAATATTTATAAAAAATTAAATAAAAAAATATGTTTACCAAAAAAAAAAAAAAAAACTTTGCGCGACGAAGAAGCGTCACGCAAAGTAGTTTTGCACGACGTAGGGACCTGCGTCGCGCAAAGACACTTTGCTCGACGCATGTTCCTGCGTCGCGCAAAGTGGCTTTGCGCGACGTAGGTTACTTCTTCGTCGCACAAACCCTTCCGTCACTGCCTTGGCGCGACGGTTGGCGCGCAACGAAGGTTCGTTGCTCTAATGTTTGCGCGACGATTTTTTAACTTTGCTCGACGAAGGACCTGCATCGCGCAAAGTGTTTTTTGTACTAGTGTAAGGAATTCTCATCACAAGCAATCAAGGATACTTGATAATCCCAAGATATTATCTCATAGTTAATATCTTCGAGATCATTCTTTTCTTATCCATCCTATGGATATCACACCTTGGTCAATGGGAAATCGTCATGTGAAAGGAAAAACCCTAACCTTATGGCTGCCCACCTTCCTATAGATACTCCATCTCTATTTTCTGGTAAGCTTTTGCTACGCATTTAAGCTCTAAAAACTCACTCTTTTTAGATTAGGCATCGGAAATCTATTGGCTAAACCCCCACCTTGTGGGCGTGTGTGTGGTTTTGACCTTTATCAAATTCGTCAAGACTGAAAACAATTTTTAGCTACAACAATATTATTTTTAAATTTGACTCGTTAAAATAAAATTTTAGTTGTTTTACAACATGTTTGGAGATGCTGTAATGGCATTGCATTAACCAATACCACATTTGTGATGGATTTTTCTGTGTGGCTGGTAGGTGGAACGCGATAGCAAATACCACAATGAATTAAAAATGTCTAACAAAACTATATGACTTCTCATGTTTCTGACTTCCCATTAATGTGATGGACGAATTTTCTTCATGACTTCTCTATCTTCTTTGTTTGTCAATACGAAAACAAGCAGCCCACCGACACTTCAGCACCACACAAAAGCTAAAATCAGCTGCTCACTCAGCCTGTTTCTGCCATTTTCTTCTGCATAAACATATAATTATCAGAGAGGGAGGAGCGTTGGTGGTAAGTTTTTACCAAAAAAGCACATTAGGAAGTATGATTTTTTATGTGCATATGATTTCTTTTCTTGTGGTTTCGGTTAAACAAGGGAGTGCATCTTTTTATTTCCAACTTATTTATTGATTGTGTTCGCTATAGAAACAACTAGTATAACCATGTTGGTTCGAAGACAGCGTTCTCTTAAATATTAGAATCCTGTCTCTTGAATTAGATATTAGAGTATCGTTTTCGATAATTGTAATGTGCGTTTGTATTTGTATTGTTTATGGTTTATACCCTTGTTTCCTGGTGTTTGTTTGATTTAGATGTCCTGTTTATGTTGGAGCTCATAAAAAATAGAGTGATCCAATATAAATGAGGGAAATATACCAAAATTAAAACTTATTATATGATGTCCACAAGTGTGATGTTATTTTTGTATTTGCTTCTTTACTGCAGTTGAGCAAAGTTTCATACTTCATTCTCAAAGATGTTTAAGAGGATCGCATTCATCTTGTTGGTTGGATTGCTGGCATGGGCGTATCAGGCCGCCCGACCACCACCTCCGAACATCTGTGGTTCGCCTGGCGGTCCACCTGTCACAGCGCCTAGAATAAGGCTAAGGGATGGAAGATTTTTGGCCTACAAGGAACATGGTGTTCCAAAACAAGTGGCCAAGTATAAGATTATCTTTGTTCATCCCTTCGGTGCTTCCCGACATGATCCAGTCATTGCAACATCTGTCTCTCCGGTACTACCTTGATTGGTTCTCTGTCATTCTTCAGTTCGACTCTATATTAGTTGATTTCGTGGTGGATGTTTTTTTTTTTTTTTTTTTTTTTGTTTTATCAGGAAGTTATTGAAGATTTAGGTGTGTACATTGTGTCTTTCGACAGACCAGGGTACGGTGAAAGTGATCCGGATACTAAGCGAACAGCGAAGAGCTTGGCGTTAGATATAGAGGAGCTTGGTGATCAGCTAGAACTCGGATCCAAATTTTATGTGATTGGATTCTCAATGGGAGGACAAGTCATTTGGAAGTGTCTTCAGTACATCCCTCATAGGTAAGATTTTGCAAGCAGCCTCATTACCTGATGATGCATCATTCGGTACTGAAATTTTTCTCTAAAGTTCGATGTGTTTGGGATGCCTGTTACGACAGGCTAGCTGGAGCAGCACTGATCGCTCCGGTGATCAACTACTGGTGGCCAGGACTGCCTGCCAACCTGTCATCTTATGCCTATACGAAGCAAGCTCCACATGATCAATGGGCGCTTCGAGCTGCTCACTATATACCTTGGTTAACCTACTGGTGGAACACTCAGAATTTCTTTCCTAAACACAGCGTTGTATCCGGGAAAGCAGAGAATATGTTTTCCCGCCAAGATTGGGAAATCATTAGGAATGCAAATGTTTCTGGAAGAGAAAAGCACAAGGTACTTTCCTTATTCGATCGCTAATTTTTTAGGATTTTATAGAAACTCGGCAGCGTTGATGATTTTTGTTTTGTTTTGTTATTTGTTTGGGCAGGAACATGTCACGCAGCAAGGAGAAGCTGAGTCCATCTTTCGCGACATCATAGTTGGATTTGGGAGCTGGGAATTTGATCCTACGGATCTGAAGAATCCTTTTGTCAACAACGAAGGCTCGGTCCATCTATGGCAGGGTGACGAAGATAAGCTTGTTCCGGTTGAGCTGCAACGCTATATTGCCGAAAAGCTTCCATGGATTCACTACCATGAGTTACCAGGTAGTGGACATTGGTTGCCCGCTGCCGATGGTATGAGTGAAGTCATCTTAAAGGCACTTCTAATTAAAGAGTAGACCATTGACGTCGTCGATACAGGGCAGCTCTCTCAGAGATGCTACATTATATCCAAATTATGTTCCAAGACAAATATTTGTAATGTTACAATTCAAATAGAGGAAATAATGAGATTATTTCCTTTATGCGTGACATGTTTTTGGTTGATTTTTGAACAATTTTCCTTTATGTTTGGATTATTGGTTGGTGTTTGTTTTGGATATTAAGTTTTATCCTTGAATAAATGTAATTATTTTAAATTGATAACTGTTTTTTATAAAAAATTTTGCAAGTGACCGATTCAAATTAATTTTTCATTCTAAGTATAACTAGTGGGAATTTAGTTGTCTGGCAGATAGTGCAACCACGCACATAGCTTTGCGTGAACGCATCTATTTCACTAACTTCATACCTAAGAATGCACCTCTGACAACCCTCTCAGACCCCTTCAACCTGATAGAAGGATACGGTAAGGCACATATAATGTTATCTAATGGTACAATCTTGACCATTTCTGAGGCACTCTACTCTCCACGTTCCAGAAGAACGTTGTTAGTTTCAAGGACATTAGATATAACAATTACCACACTGAAACCCACCTAGAAAACGGAGTTGAATTTCTATGCATAACTTCCTACGAATATGGCCAGAAGCGTATTCTAGAAAAGATTAAGCGCATCCCGAGTGATTTGTATACTACGACCATACGCCCCATAGAATGCCACTATGTGGCCGGCCCTACTACTGGGACCGCGCACGAAATTACACTTTGCCATGATCGTTTGGGACATCCTGGACGAATAGTGATGCGCCGTATCCTCAAATCTTCACACGGGAAATATTTTGAGGTAATCCCAAGGTATTATCTCATAGTTAATATCTTCGGGATAATTCTTTCCTTATCCATCCTATGGATATCACACCTTAGCCAATTGGAAACCGTCATGTGCAAGGAAAAATCCTAACCTTATGACTGCTTACCTTCCTATAAATACTGCATCTACACCATTTTCTAGTAAGCTTTTGCTGCGCACTTAAACTCTAATAACTCGCTCTTTTCAGATTAGGCATCAGAGATCTATTGGCTAAACCCCCACCTTGTGGGCGCGTTTGTGGCTTTGACCTTGATCAAATTCGTCAAGACTGAAGATAACTTTATGCTACAACGATATTATTTTTAAATTTGACTCATTAAAATAAATTTTTAGTTGTTTTTACAATATGTTTAGAGATGCTGTAATGGCATTGCATTAATACCACATTTATGATGGGTCTGATGACTGATGACTCATAAAAGTTCCAATACAGAAAAAGATAAAAAGGTGAAAAGGAAAGCTGGGAAGGTATGCCAAAATCATCAGTGGATGGATTTTTCTGTGTGGCTGGTTGTGTAACTTGTGTTAGGTGGAACGCGATACCAAACACCACAACGAATTAAAAATGTCTAACAAAACTATATCCCTTCTCATCTTTCTGATTTCTCAACATTGTCATGGATGAATTTTCTTCATGGCTTCTCTATCTTCTTCGTTTGTCAATACGAAAACAAGCAGTCCACCGACACCGGCAGCTTCAGCACCACACAAAAGCTAAAAGCAGCTGCTCACTCAGCCTGTTTCTGCCATTTTCTTCTGCATAAACATATAATTATCAGAGGGAGGAGCGTTGGTCGTAAGTTTTTACCAAAAAAGCACATTAGGAAGTATGATTTTTTATGTGCATATGATCTCTTTTCTTGTGGTTTCGGTTAAACAAAGGAGTGCATCTTTTTATTTCCAACTTATTTATTGATTGTGTTCGCTATAGAAACAACTAGTATAACCATGTTGGTTAGAACACCGAATTCTAGTGATCAACTACTGGTGGCCAGGACTTCCTGCCAACCTGTCATCTTATGCCTATAAGAAGCAAGCTCGACATGATCAATGGGCGCTTCGAGCTGCTCACTATATACCTTGGTTAACCTACTTGTGGAACACTCAGAATTTCTTTCCTAAACACAGCGTTTTATCCGGGAAAGTAGAGAATATGTTTTCCCGCCAAGATTGGGAAACCATTAGGAATGCAAAGGTTTGTGGAAGAGAAAAGCACAAGGTACTTTCCTTATTCGATCGCTAATTGTTTACGATTTTATAGAAACTCGGCAGCGTTGATGATTTTTGTTTTGTTTTGTTATTTGTTTGGGCAGGAACATGTCACGCAGCGAGGAGAAGCTGAGTCCATCTTTCGCGACATCATAATTGGATTTGGGAGCTGGGAATTTGATCCTACGGATCTGAAGAACCCTTTTGTCAACAACGAAGGCTCGGTCCATCTATGGCAGGGTGACGAAGATAAGCTTGTCCCAGTTGAGCTGCAACGCTATATTGCCGAAAAGCTTCCATGGATTCACTACCATGAGTTACCAGGTGGTGGACATTTGTTGCCAGCTGTAGATGGTATGAGTGAAGTCATCTTAAAGGCACTTCTAATTAAAGAGTAGACCATTGACGTCGTCGATACAGGGCAGCTCTCTCAGAGATGCTACATTATATCCAAATTATGTTCCAAGACAAATATTTGTAATGTTACAATTCAAATAGAGGAAATAATGAGAGTCGATTCAAAATTAGTTGTATGATGTTCCATATCTCAGGCCATTTTTATGGTTAAATCCAGCAAAGTTGGAACTACACAAAATACAGATGCAATGCGATTCGTGCAAATGTAACACCCGCAAGGTAAAGCATCTCTTTATAAACCCGACAATTGAAACTACTACAGGGACAAGGGGTTGGAATTTCCACCCATGTAATACCTGCATGTGGTCCAATATATCCTAGTAATAGGATGTTGGATTTCCACCTATGCATCTAGGGCTCAAAGCTCCCCCTTTCCTCAAATTATTATAATAGTTTTGAACCTCCCCCTCCCGCTAATAATAATTTAAAAAATACACTACAGAGACCAAAATCAAACTTTGTACATGCCAGCACCACTCTGTTAGTTCTTCTACAGATCACCATTTTCTGGCCTGTACTAACTGCTAGCTATCATTTTTAGTGAAATCTATCAATCTTCCATTTCTAATTCCGGCTAGAAGTGAAAGACGCAATGCCGTACTTTCGAATGAACAAAAGAAAATTTATTCATTATTGTGTCAAAGATAATGAATAGAAAGACCATAATTGGAATAAAGAACAAAAAATAAGTTACCAATGCATGAAACAAGCAACAGAAACTGTCAAACGGCAAGCAACTTGGATAATCATTTCAAGCCAATTCTTCGGTTCAGCCTAAAAGCATTATCCATACAGCCATTTGAATAGGCCTGAGAAGGAATAGGGTGTTGCGAAACAAAAGAGTTCAAGCTTACTTCGGCAATCCAGTTTTAGGGTTGAGAAGAAGTATCTAAGTTCAGACGAAGAGGAACACAGAGAATACAGCCATGATTCTCCTGTTCTTGGACCTGGTTCCAACAAAGAAGAAAAACTTTCTCTCTACACTTCCCATGTGACCAACTCCCCATTTTGAAGAAAAACGTTCTTTTTCCATTTCCCACGTGACCAACTTCCCAATTTTTTTTTTTTTTAATTGTTCTCTAATTAGGTTGTGTCACATATCATTTTAATAAATAAAGAGATGGTGTTGTAAAATCGACGGCGTGTGCAGTGGAATAAATGAAACAAGACACAAAATTTACGAGGTTCCTCTACAATCAGTGTGACAGGAGTACGTCATCGGGGCAGCAGTGGTGCTTTCATTATAATCTGAAATAATAAGAGTACAAAGATAACTCTCTCTATTATCTCATCTCCTCTTCTCTCTTTTCTCTCTTCCTTTTATTCTTCCTATCTCTCCCATGAACCTCTCACCTTCATCTCCCAAATCTTTTGTTGTGTTCCATAAGACTTGCTTTTATAGAAGCAAATCACAAGCAACATTGTGAAAGGCTTACTATATGCATGTGAGTATTTACTATACACATGTGGTACTTTACTATACACATGTGGGCAAACATACCCACTATTTACAACACTCCCCCTTGGATGCCCACATAAGTCTTCAATTGACTCGTTAAGATCTTGATCTGTTTTGGATGCTCCCCTGATGAGTATCTCCCCTTGATTTCAAATCATATAGACTGATCGTTGATCATTTTGCTTCAGTCTCTTAGTAAAAAGAGTTGCCGAAATAGGTACTTTACTTGTTGTTAACTTTCCACAGACTTGTTCTTGAACTGGGCTGGAGGGCCTTCTGCTAAACTTGCTCCAAATGTCTGAATTTACTTCTTTTATCTGGAGCTAAATTTAATTCAAGGGTCGTAGACACTTGATCTTGAATCAAACTTGTGATTTCTTCAAGGACCTTCGAGGCTTGATCTTGAATGAAGTTGTATCGTGAAGAGCTTCACGTGGCAAGTGATATTCAGCTTTGTCGGGGATGAATCAGCACGTGTTTGTTGCGCTTGTCTCCACATGCTTCAATGTATCATTTTCACTTGCCTTACTTGCTCCCCTTGCTTAAGTAGCATTTTCTCCGGTTTTCCCCCTACATGTGTGGCATCTTCTCTTGAAGGATTTGTCCCCTGATGCAGGAGTGGAATGCAAACCCTTGCATTTGTATGGTTCATCATTTCTTGGTGACTAGAGACCCAGCTCCAACAACAGTTGAAGATGACTACTTTTGCTCTCGTCCCTGAAGATATGAGATAATCTTGCTCTGGTGCGACTTGTTTGAAGAGGTATTCTCGGAGAGGAAGAAAACTGAGTATTTCGAGATGCTTTATTGAAGATGCATTCTTGGAGATGATGAAGAGTTGGACATGCTTGCTGGTCTGCCTTGTTATGGAGAACGAAGGTCGACATATATAGAGATTTCCCAATAGCAAGTGGTGGTGTTGTGCCTTTACTCTTGTCAGCAACTGTGGTGTAATTAGAACAGTAAGATTTACACGTTTTCAACTTTGTCAGAGATCTTTGACAAAATTGCATGCGATATCCGAAAAAGCTGAGATTGCGTCTGAAAAATGCCAACGAACTTTATTTAGGAAAATCTGGCTTTTGAAATTCGGAGAGCGGTGCCTCTTCGATCTCTGAACAAGTGGCTCTGCTGCCTCTTCTTTTATAGAGACATCAATTGTGTTCAAGAGTATGCTCAAAAAGTTGCTACCTGTAGAAATTTCCCTCATCTTGCACTTCTGAAATTTTATTTGACCTCTTTTTTTTCTTCATCATTTCTGAAAATGACTTGCTCATCTAACATTTGCTTAGATTTGAGTCTTAGGAGTGATACAGACGAGCAGCGTCAAGATAATATATGGCGCCCGTCCTTCTTATCTTTTAATGGTCCTCTTACGGCTAGGGACTATGTGATGAAGAATAACATAACCGCTACTGTGGTAGCTAGGAATCTTCTCACTCCAAAGGATAACAAGATCCTTTCAAAACGGTCTGATGAGTTTGCCATTCAAAACTCCTTGGCTCTCAGTGTTCAGTGTGCTGGCTCTGTTTCCAATATGGGTCAACGCCTACTTGCTCAAACTCGCCAAGTTGAATCATTGATGGCTGAGGTGGCAAGTCTTAAACAAGAGATCAGATGGCTCAAGCACGAGAATAGAATGTTACACGTGCTTGCAAATAATTACTCGACGAGCATGAAAAGAAAGCTCGATCAGCTGCAAGAATCCGAAAGTCGGATTCAAAGTGATCACCAGAGGTTCGTTGCTAGATTCCGAAAACAACTGATGCCTTCCCCTTCTGGTGTTTTGCTAAGTACTGGGGTGCCACATGATCAATCTCCAGTGTCTCCCCCTTCTGGGGTACTTCCGAGTAATGAGGCTTCACATGAGCAACCTTTGTAAAGGCTCCATCCTGTTTGTTTGTTTTAACTCATGTGTATGTACATATCTGTAATTTCTCGGAGATATTAATAGATAAGCTTTATTTCATTCAATGTATTGTGTCAAATACAATAAAGCATATACTTCACTAAGATGTGGTACTTCTGGACCAATATTAATTTATCTTTACCCTCACAAAGATAAATGATAATTCTTAGTGTCTACATCATTTGAGTATTCAACTCATAATCTTCAATCCATATGGTTCTTTTAATATCATAAACATCATGGATAAGATTCGTGTTGGTCTATTGTTCGATCTGCAGCTCGAGACAATAATTCCTTCAACACTTTATAATTTTTCTAGACTCTTCAGGAGTCCCAATTTAATATTATCAACTCTTCAAGAGTTCTAATTTAATATCATCAACCTTTTGCAAGAGGTTGCAACAATATCATAATGATAGTACTTACTAAGGTAATTTATACCATTCATTGGTATTAAGAACATATTTTATGCTTTACCCTTCGGGGGCTTACTTTAAGCAATTTGAATCCTTCAGGGATTTTCTACACTTCATGACACATTTTCCTTTGGAATTTATATAGAGCAATTTGCTTCCATGTATACTTAAGATACTTATGGAGATATGATGTGGGCGACTCACAACCCTTCGTATATAATTCTCCATTCATATGAACTCGTTTACAAGAGTATAATTTCAGGTTTCAATACCTTGTGTCATATCATGTGAGTGTATTTCACTATATTACAAATGCCCAATGTAACCTCCTTGGTTCAACATCTTTTGGCTATTTGTATTATATTCAAATATATAGATCCATTTTTCCACGTTCTTACAAAATTGTAATGGAATTGCCTTTCTCCATTATTGGCCAATAATTTTGTTGACGCAAAAGAACGGGACTCAATATCAACACAGCTCATTGATGAATTTAGTAGCTACTTGTCAAAACCAACATTGTCATTGGTTATCATCAATCTGTGATCCCATATTCTCATGTGCATGCGCATGCATAAAAGCTTTTTATTTATTTGGATATCCATTGCCTCTTCAAGGCTATTACACTATCTTTTCCAGGATAGTCATAATTTAAAGAATGCAGATCATAACCTCCTCTTGAGCGTTATAGAGCTTGGATTTTAATCTCCACTTTTGGGGAGTTAAGTCATTGGAACCTATACGTCTATCATACTACATGCATGAGACATCAATATTCCCATGTCCACAGATTGTCCTTCTGGACCATGTATTCATGCGACGACTGTCATGCTTCTGGCATGCAACAGTTATGTTACAAGAATGCAATAGTTCAGTAATGCCATATTCTTCTTCTTTCAAATGACTGAACCTTTTGAGTCTAAGGGTTTGCCACGCTTCAGGCGTGCAACAGAGAAATCATTTACAGCCTCATTATATTGTCCAACAAGGACATCAATTTTTGTAGGCACATTTGCAGCAAATATATGTGATTTCATCACTTTCGTTGCATCATTTAATCATTCCTATTTCATTTTCTCATTGATTGCTTCATGAATCAAAATAAGACAAATTCTCTTCGTTCTTCTGGAACGGTCTCTTCTTATCATTCTTCTGGAATGATATTTTCTCATCGTTCTTCTAGAACAATGTTATTTTCTCTCCCTAATGGCGGGATAACTATCTTATCAAAATCATAGTCCGCATACCACGCGGTAAACATATCCCCAGTCAAGGGTTCTAGGTATTGAATGATAAATGGTGAATCAAATCCAACATAAATTCCCAGTTTGTGTTGATGCCTCATTTTAATATATTGTGGCTGTGCAATAGGCACATAGATAACACAACCAAAAAATCATAAAAGTATAATGCTTGGCTGGTTCCCAAACACGAGTTGTACTGAGAAGTATTGATGGTTGGTAACATGTCTCAACCGAATTAACATGTCCCCATGTAGAAAACTGGCAATTTCGTTTTCATGAGCAGAGCGCGCGTAATCAATTTCATCAGCTTAATAAAGGCTTCTGCTAAACCATTTTGAGTATGGACATAAGGAACTTCTGGTCCTTATTTAATAGTTTGTAAACTGAAACTCTTATCGCTTTTATTACAATTAAGTTAAGGCACTGCGGCACTTCAAACTTACGGTACTCATCTAGGAACTTCATGTCCTGATCTTCAGGATCAAGGGACTTCATACCTGATCTTTTTGCGTGATGGAACTTCAGGTCCAATCATTTTTATATGATGAGGATCAAGAAACTGCAGGTTCTGATCTGACCAATGAACTTTAGGTCCTATATATACTCATTGTAACAAAAGATAAGTGCAATAAATAAATTAAAGCGATAGGCGGTAATTCCAGCCATATTGAATAAATTGCATTTAAGTAAATAAAACTTGTGACAAAGGCTTTAATTTAGCACCATCAAAATTTAAAGCAATGGGCGGTAAAACCGTCCATGGTAAATAAATTGCTTTAAAGTAAAAAGAACTTGTGAAAGTGTTTTAAGCCAACACCATTCACATAAATAAATATATTGTTTCTCCTTTCTTTTCAGATGGTGCAACACCATCCAAAAGCCTTTATCTATTTTTATTATTATTATTTTCTTATTCATTCACATGTTGCAACATTCCAAGAACTTTGTCCTTTTTTTTTTCTTTCACATGGTGCAACGCACCTTTCCAAGAGCTTTGGCCCCATTTCCCTTTTTATTTTTGTTTTCATTTCACAGTTCTGAAGTCATTTTGGTTACTCAGGAAATAATAGTAACAATAGGTTCCAATTGGTGTTCCTCCTCCGATGAGTTTCGAAAAAGTCGAAATGGTTCCCATAAGTTTTGGAGTCAAGAGTGTCTGCAACTTATGCGAAAATCAAACCGTTAGATTTAGGTCAAATTTTAGTATGATATGGATAAGAGGATACCGAACAACTTTCATGAAAAAACAATTTCAATCTGAGCTACCGAAATAGAGTTTTGGTACTCATAAGGTGGCTGTCCAGTTTTCTGCGGAAATTGGAAACTGGTTTGGTATTTCAGACATCTGCGACAATCGCACCGTTAAAGTTTTCTGAAATTTTGATATGTTGTAGATATTGAGCAGACAAACAACTTTGAAGAAGAAAATATTTCAATCCGAGGTCCGCAAGTTGGAGTTCCGAGGCTGTTTACATGACTGTTAGATTCTCTACGAATTTTTGAGTTTGTACTCTTTTGCTTCTGCAAATGATGATATACAGTCATACAACAATATATATATATATTTGCTTCAAGAAAATCAGTAGTACAAAGATTTTAAGATAAAATGAAAAGATTTTCTTATCTGTGAGATTTCAGGCGATAGAGATGAACAAGATTTGTGATGTTGTGCTTTCTACTGACACGAGAGCTTCTCGTGTTGATAATGTGTTGTAAAATCGACGGCGTGTGCAGTGGAATAAATGAAACAAGACACAAAATTTACGAGGTTCCTCTACAATCAGTGTGACTGGAGTACGTCATCGGGGCAGCGGTGGTGTTTTCATTATAATCTGAAATAATAAGAGTACAAAGATAACTCTCTCTATTATCTCCTCTCCTCTTTCTCTCTTTTCTCTCTTCCTTTTATTCTTCCTATCTCTCCCATGAACCTCTCACCTTCGTCTCCTAAATCTTTTGTTGTGTTCCATAAGACTTGCTTTTTTCATCTCCTAAATCTTTTGTTGTGTTCCATAAGACTTGCTTTTATAGAAGCAAATCACAAGCAACATAGTGAAAGGCTTACTATATGCATATGAGTATTTACTATACACATTACTATACACATGTGGTACTTTACTATACACATGTGGGCAAACATACCCACTATTTACAACAGATGGTGGATTACTAAATCAATATTTTTTATAACACGTGTTTGATACAGTTATTTCTTTTAAAATTCATTATACATACGACATTTGAAAAAATATTTCGTAAAATATTGCGTCACGTAATCACTTAAACTTTCATCTCATACCATCTAATTCACTAAATTACTAAAGCAAAAATTCTGATGTTTTTGTATGTTATATGTCAAATAATAAACCTATTTAAAATAATAAACTCAAATCCTAATCATAAGTATAGTTTTTTAAAGTGTAAATGGGCACTTATTATATGTTATATATTAAATTTATTTAAATCTGCCTAGTTTGCCTAGGCCCCATCTAAGCGCACAGGCGCGAGGCCGCAACCCACCACCTAAGTAGCGCCTATCCTAGTGTGCCTTGATTAGGGCCACCCGATGGTAGAATTTTGGATCCGCCACTAGTTATATTAAAAAGTCTCTTGAAGATGCTCTAGCACTATAACATGTCTATAAAAAGCTCTAAATTTTTATTAACTAGCAAGTCAAAAGTGCCAAAAAACTATTTTAGCTATTTAGTTTAACTTTCCATCTCCAACAACACTCTTTATTTTAACAAACTTTGAATATTTTTTTTATTAACAATTCAACCCCAACTCATTTATTCTTATTTGGAGGATTTTGTACAAGTACCACATGAACTTTCATTTTTATTTTTTACCACCTAGACACTCTTAATTTTTAGAACCTACCACCTACATTACTTTTCATCTATTTTTCCGTTAAAATATTTCACGCGCTCTTCACATGGAGGGATATTTTTGTCAATTCACTTTTTAGGGATCACTATTGTCAATTTGTACAAAGGCAAAAGGCGAATTTTTAGCGGACTTGGAGTTAGGTCATCAAGAGAAAGGAAGAAGTTGATTTCTGATTTGATTTTGGCAAGGACTGTTGAAGAATTGAAGTAGAAATATTGTACAAAATCTAGTCTTTCATTTACAATGTATTTTCACTTTTTTTTTTTTTTTTTTGGATCAGCAAGTGGGTGTGTGATTTATCTTAATTTATACAAATATGAATTTTTCTAACTTTTATAAAGGGAATTGCCAAACTGGAGTTATACAAACCCCCAATTTTAGCGCAATATTAACTCAGACACTATTATTTTGGAGCATATTGATTCTAAATAGCCGCATGAAGTTAATTGATGAAAAAAATCTCTTCAGGTGACATGTTTTAACAGTAGAATGGATGAAAAGTAACGTAGGTGGTACATTCCAACACTTAAGAGGGTCCAGGTGGTAACAAATAAAAATTGAAAGTTTAGGTATTATTATCGCACATGCTTACAAGTTCAAGTGGTACTTGTGTAAAAAACCATTTCTACAACAGTCTTCTATTTCTTTCTTTTTTCGTTGCTCAAGGGTCAACTTTTAATTTTATTTTTTAAATATTTAGCTGATGGACAATTACTCTATAAATTTGAAAAGTGACTATTCCTTATGTTATAATAAAGACTTTTTTATATAGTCTATTAGAGATGTGTGTGGAGCAAAAAATAATTCTAAAAATTCTAGAAAAAACATGTGACTTTTTTTTCCAAAAAAATACAATAAAGCCCTCATTAATGGGTAGGGCCCACAAATATTCACACATGCAGTTCAATATCCCTAGAGAATTGAGCTGCTGAATACAACATCACCAAGTTTCCTGTCGTAACATGGAAAAGTTAAATACATTAATGATAGGATTAGTCACCAAATTCTATCGTTAATACATTCCTAATTGAAAATCAACTCAAACAGGCAAGGAATTCTCATCAGAAGCAATCAAAGATACTTGATAATCCCAAGGTATTATCTCATAGTTAATATCTTCGGGATAATTCTTTTCTTATCCATCCTATGAATATCACACCTTGGCCAATGGGAAACCGTCATGTGTAAGGAAAAATCCTAACATTATGACTACCCATCTTCCCATAAATACTGCATCTACACCATTTTCTGGTAAGCTTTTGCTACACACTCAAGCTCTAAAAACTCACTCTTTTCAGATTAAGCATCAGAGATCTATTGGCTAAACCCCCAACTCGTGGGCGCGTGTGTGGCTTTGACCTTGATCAAATTCGTCAAGACTAAAGACAGCTTTTTGCTACAACAATATTATTTTTAAATTTGACTCATTAAAATAAAATTTTAGTTGTTTTTACACCATGTTTAGAGATGCTGTAATGACATTGCATTAATACCACATTTGTGATGGGTCTGATGACTGATGACTCATAAAAGTTCCAATACAGAAAAAGATAAAAAAGGTGAAAAGGAAAGCCGGGAAGGTATGCCAAAATCATCAGTGGATGGATTTTTCTGTGTGGCTGGTTGTGTAACTTGTGTTAGGTGGAACGCGATACCAAACACCATAATGAATTAAAAATGTCTAACAAAACTATATCCCTTCTCATCTTTCTGACTTCTCATCATTGTGATGGACGAATTTTCTTCATGACTTCTCTATCTTCTTCGTTTGTCAATACGAAAACAAGCAGCCCACCGACACCGGCAGCTTCAGCACCACACTAAAGCTAAAAGCAGCTGCTCACTCAGCCTGTTTCTGCCATTTTCTTCTGCATAAACATATAAATATCAGAGGGAGGAGCATTGGTGGTAAGTTTTTTCCAAAAAAGCACATTAGGAAGTATGATTTTTTATGTGCATATGATTTTCTTTTCTTGTGGTTTCGGTTAAACAAAGGAGTGCATCTTTTAATTTCCAACTTATTTATTGATTGTGTTCGCTATAGAAACAATTAGTATAACCTAGTTGGTTAGAACACCGCGTTCTCTTAAATATTGGAATCCGTCTCTTGTTGTTTAGATATTAGAATATCATTTTCGATAAATGAAAAGTGTGTTTGTATTTGTATTGTTTATACATTACACCATTTTTATTTGAGCTCTTAAAAATTGGAGTGATCCAATTGAGGCAAAATTAGAACTTATTATATAATGTCCTCAAGTGTAATGTTATTTTTGTATTTGCTTCTTCACTGCAGTTGAGCAAAGCTCCATACTTCATCTTCTCAATGATGTTTAACAGGATCGCATTCATCTTGTTGGTTGGATTGCTGGCGTGGGCACATCAGGCCGCCCGACCACCCCCTCCGAACATCTGTGGTTCGCCTGGCGGTCCACCTGTCACAGCGCCTAGAATAAGGCTAAGGGATGGAAGATTTTTGGCCTACAAGGAACATGGTGTTCCAAAACAAGTGGCCAAGTATAAGATTATCTTTGTTCATCCCTTCGGTACTTCCCGACATGATCCAGTCATTGCAACATCTGTCTCTCCGGTACTACCTTGATTGGTTCTCTGTCATTCTTCAGTTCAACTCTATTTTGGTTGATTTCGTGGCGGATGTTTTTTTTTTTTTTTTTCTCAGGAAGTTATTGAAGATTTAGGTGTGTACATTGTGTCTTTCGACAGACCAGGGTACGGTGAAAGTGATCCGGATCCTAAGCGAACAACGAAGAGCTTGGCGTTAGATATAGAGGAGCTTGGTGATCAGCTGGAACTCGGATCCAAATTTTATGTGATTGGATACTCAATGGGAGGACAGTGCATCTGGAAGTGTCTTCAGTACATCCCTCATAGGTAAGATTTTACAAGAAGCCTCCTTCGGTATGCATCGTTCGGTACTGAAATTTTTTCTCTAAAGTTCGATGTGTTTGAGATGCCTATTACAACAGGCTAGCAGGAGCAGTGCTGATCGCTCCGGTGATCAACTACTGGTGGCCAGGACTTCCTGCCAACTTGTCATCTTATGCCTATAAGAAGCAACCTCCGCAGGATCAATGGGCGCTTCGAGCTGCTCACTATATACCTTGGTTAACCTACTGGTGGAACACTCAGAATTTCTTTCCTAAATCCAGCGTTGTATCCGGAAAACCAGAGAATATGTTTTCCCGCCAAGATTGGGAAATCATTAGGAATGGAAAGGTTTCTGGAAGCGAAAAGCACAAGGTACTTTCCTTATTCGATCGCTAAATGTTAAGGATTTTTATCGAAACTCGGCAGCTTCGATGATTTTTGTTTTGTTATTTGTTTGGGCAGGCACATGTCACGCAGCAAGGAGAAGCTGAGTCCATCTTTCGTGACATGATTGTTGGATTTGGGAGCTGGGAATTTGGTCCTATGGATCTGAAGAACCCTTTTGCCAGCAATGAACGCTCGGTCCATCTATGGCAGGGTGACGAAGATAAGCTTGTCCCAGTAGAGCTGCAACGCTATATTGCCGAAAAGCTTCCATGGATTCACTACCATGAGGTACCAGGTGGTGGACATTTGTTGCCAGCTGCAGATGGTATGAGTGAGGTCATCTTAAAGGCACTTCTAATTAGAGAGAAGTAGACCATTGACGTTGTCGATACAGAGCAGCTCTCTTTGAGATGCTACATTATATACTAATTATGTTGCAAGACAAATTTTTGTAATGTTAAAGATTCAAATAGACGAAATAATTTGAAATTGTGATGTTCCAAATCTCAGGCCATTTTTGTGGTTACATTCAGCGAACTCACACCTGGAAGGTGAACGAACGGCTAAGTTGGAACTATATAAATGACAGATGCAATGCGGTTCGTGCAAATATAACACCTGGAAGGTAAAGCATCTCTTTAGAAACACGACAATTGAAACTACAGGATAGGGTGTTGGATTTCCTCCCATGCGTCTTGGTTCGAAAGTCCCTCCTCATCAAAATTATTGTAGAAGTTTCGATCACCATTTTCCGGCCTTTAGTAACCGCTAGCTATCATTTTCAGTGAAGTCTATCAATCTTCCATCTCAAATTCCTACGAAAAGTGAAAGATGCAACGCCATACTTTTGAATGAACAAAAGATAAATTTATTCATTATTGTGTCAAAGACTCTGAGTACAAAGGCCATAATTGGAATAAAGAGCAAAAAGTAAGTTACAAATGCATGAAACAAGCAACAGAAGCTGTCAAACTGCGAGCAACTCAGAAAATCATTTCAAGCCAAGTTCTCGGTTCAGCCTAAAAGCATTATCCATACAGCCATTTGAATAGACCTGAGAAGGAATAGCGATATGAAACAAAAGAGAGAAACCTTCCGCGCTTACTTTGGCAATCCAGTTTCAGGGTTGAGAAGATGACTTTCATCTGACAGCACAACTGGACCTCTCCCAGGTCTTGTGCAAATAAAGTAACTGACATCTCCTCTGAATTTCTGGGACGGATCCTTGATTTCTGGAGGTGGGGGTAAAGTTTCAATATCCTCCGGGCTCTCAACACCGGCATCTTTTAGAATTGACTTGTCACCGAGAACGAAACTGGAAAATGAAATGTGAAAATATTTATTAAAAGAAGAAAGAACAGGGTTGGCACCGTCAGAAAAATCCTTGATACAGAAACTCGCAGAAACAAGAATCTCTTAAACTTTGTGGATCATATGAAAGCGTGATAGCATCTAAACTCAAATTACCTGTTCAAATCTGCATCAGAATTTGGTGGAAAGCAGAATAGCAACTTCTGAATTAAAAGGGCAGCTGTTTTCCTGTTACGTGCAATTAGAACTGCATTCGGCCCCGCATCAAATGTATAAGCCACCTATCGATTATTACAATATTGTCAGCTACTCGAAGAATAATATAAACAGTATGCAACTCAAACAAAAGCTTATAGAGTTGAGATTATTATTTTCGTTTAAGCCTAAAATCATTTTCCAACTAATATTTAGTAGCATGCTTATATGCCACAAACTTATAAAAAGTAGAATCAGTGCCAGAAGGGAAGAAGCAGGTCCAGATTTAGAAGCATGCTTTGAACTAGGTTTATCACGAGAACAAAGTCTGATCCAAATTACTTGTCAAGCCAACGTAAAAAGAAATCCTTTTCCACAAGAAAGTTTGTAAGTCGTTAAGAGCTTGTATTTGTTTCATGTATGTAGCTGTGCAATTTGTGTCAGTTGAGGCATTATATTAAGAAAACATGTGCAGTGAAGCTCCATGTAGATTAATGTCTTTAAGATAGACATAAGGACTTCTACTGAAAATATAATCACTTTTGGTCTAATACTGAAAATATACGTAATCAGAAATGCTAAATTCAAGATGAGTATCATGCTAGAAAGACAAACAATTAGTATTTTATACTCATTAAATATCATTTAGTTTCCTCCTGAAAATTCAAACCTGAGGTGTTCCTTCTGCGTGGTTCCACTTTTCAACAAGGCTTATTATCCTGAAACATAGGCACTTCGTCAATATTAACTTTCACGTGTATAGCATCGCCTCAATGAACGAAAAAAATATATGAATTAATCTACTTGCTAAGCTTTTCAAGTGACACAAATGCAACGGGGCTTGCCTGTGGGATGTATCATTCATGTAGAAGATGGGTGGACATGTGTCCAGGCAGACAGCGTGAAACTGGTTACTGTCAGTACAGGTCAGTTGTGCAAAAGAAGCAAAATCACGATTTTTTATGGCTTCTTCCATTTTCAATATGCGTTTTGGTACTACTTCCTGTAACAGCATCAAAAAAGAGATAGGAGAAACAAATTAGATCAGAGTTTAAATGACCCCAAAAAGTAGAAAAATAACAAACCAAACAAAAAATTAGACGCCTTTTTCTTCTATAATAGCAGTGCATTTGGATGGGGTAGTTTAAAAGTTCCGAGGAATTTGAAAATGACAGAAATTAAACCACAATCTATAAATCTCTTAAGTAGTTAACCTCTTGAGCATAATTGGTTGTAAAACGATGGAGCTCAGTCACTCAACCAGCTACTACTGAAGACAAATCCTATTATTTAGGATGGACAGTGAAAAGGAAAGTGAGAACGTACCTTTGCTCTATGTTGTAAGAGCAAACTTGTTTCAACAGTATCACGCATTCCTGTAGTGCTACTTGTTTCTTTCTGCCGTGAACTTACCTGAAATAAACAAAATCAAGAAGGTAAATAACAGGGTTCTTTACAGTTGTAGCATCTCAGCATTCCAGAAGCAGCATGTGCACCTGTTATAAGCACCGCTATATATATATATGTATGTATGTATGTATATTGGACTTTAGTGACAACATAAGTTATCTGGCTTAACTCCACTTATAAAAACGTATTCTTTAAGATGGTGACAACTGATCAGTCTGTCAAATTATTAACTCTATTAGATGCAATTTTTACTCTTTTTCTATTTAATTTAATTTATGCTTGACTTTGACTTAATATCTTCCTATCTCTTTGTGTGAAAGGATACTATCTTCACGTATATCATATATTTGACATTTTGACTTCAAAAATGTAGTTCCCACTTTCCTCGAATTTTCGTGCAAATACTACAGGTGAAGAGAACAGTGGCATCAAGAAGCTTAGAATAGAAATATGACTAAGCAAACTAGATAAGTTCATAGGCAGTATTTGCAAAACTTAAAGGTATCATCGCCCAAGGATACACATTTAAGACCGTAGAATTTATACTACCAAACCAGGAAGACATGCAGACATGAACAGATGTAAAGTACTGTATAAGCATCAAAATACAAATGTATGGCAGAGATGGAAAGTAGAAAATTCAAAAGACCCCAGAGAAAACCTTTGAAGAACCGAGCACAAAATGACAAGATAAAAGTAATGTCCACTGGCCAAAATTTCCCAATACAATCATTTACTCGAACGAGAAAAGAAAAGACAATACATACCACAGCAATAACAATAACAAGTTCATCCCAGTGCTTCTCATCTGCAAGTTGGACTGCAAGACTGTCGGTTCCCTTATCATCCTTAATAGATCATGATACCAAGAATCAGAACTAAAGCTCCATAGGAAAACTTGCTTTTCAACAGAGGACATAATGAAAACAACAAAAAAAAAATTGAAAATATAATTATAAACTAAGCTTACTTTTCCCATGATCCACTTGACAAATCCCCCATATAAGCTGCGGCAAGCACTACCAGAACCTTGCCTGTATGAGCAAACAAATTCAAGGAATTATTCCCACGAACTACAACCAGCATACTAGAATCTCTATCATATGAATAAAGAAGAACATAAATTTTAAACACACAACCTCTAAGATGAACGAAAAATAAAGCAACAGAGTAAACGTCATCTACAGTGAGGCCTATATAGTGGCTGATATTTATGTAACATAAAATTCCATTAACAACCACAAGAATGACAGATGAAACTGAAGTGCAAGGTGTTCCCACTTGTAATCATTATAACTGAAACAAGATACAGGCACCCTGGAAATGAGATATCTAAATAACTCTCAACTACCTTGCAATAGCAGAAAGCTGGCTGTGATCTTCTTTCACATTCATTAACTTTCCGAGGGCAAAAACTGCAAAGTATAAACAGACACTTAGCTATCATATGTTCATTGTTAATTACTATGTATATGTATTGATAAAAAAGAGTAATCTACAGCCTGAAAGGGAAAAAAAGTACTTCAAAATATTAAGATAAGATAAAAAGAAATGTCCAAGTATTAAGTGTTAATACCAAAAGATATTGGTAAGAGCAGAAAATAGATACTTGTCAAGAGTCTTTATGTATCTTTTACTAAAAATTATATAACATTCATATATGTGCATCTAGATACGTGGAACTTATGTATTCTAAAAAAAATTCATCCAGTAATACCAATTTGTACAACCAGCCTTCCACTTTCTCAAGTTGCCTACTAATTTTTTGGATCATTATGCAGTAATGTCAGTTGGATTGCCCGTATTTTGGATATGTATCGTTGTAGACAAAAAAGCAGTTGAGTTATGAAAAGAAAATTCAGCCTAAAAAACACAAAACACATTCGGTTGCTAAAGTAAACTACTTCCAAGTTATAATGGATAATATAGGGCAAAATTAGGGTAATTATTAATTACCTAGACAAGCAAAACCAGCAGCTGAGGAAGCCAATCCAGCAGCAGTAGGAAAATTGTTATATGAAGAGATATGTACATGCAATTTTTCCCAATCCTTCTTAGTAATCTTGATTCCATTTTCCTTATCATCAACATCAGTAGCTCGACTGCGAATTTCTCTTAAACAGCTTTGGAATCTGCCTCCAGAAATGGATATCTCCTACACTAACCGGAAAAAACATGAGAGCCATGAATCAGTGAAATTCCAAAAGGATCATGATTCATGTCTATGTGGAAAGTAAAACATCAAAGCCCTGTGATTTTTGTGGGAAAAAAAACAACAGTGCAAGTTGTAAAATCCAACTACCATTGTTTTCCAACACATGAAAAACCCAACTTAATTAGCCAAAAAAATAAAACTGGCTCTTGTTTCCTGAAGACAGATCTAAAGATATACACATTATTCAAAGTTTCAAATTTTAATCTCTTCATTTCATCACCTACTGTCACTCAACAGGCAATCCGAACTAAATTGATAAAACACAATGGCGAGGGACTTGTAGCTCATTTCGCTAAGAGCATTCTCCCTTACACCCGAGGCACTTCGAATCCTCCCCCTCCCCCAAAAAAAAAAAAACCAAAACCCCCAATATCAGTGATATAGCTGTTACATAG